ACACACACACACACACACACGCACGCACACACGTCCATCATTCATGCATTCACCTCGTCTGACGTGAAGAAGGTGAAACCTTTTGTGAATCTTAACCCAAAGTTCTCTGTGAATACTGACGTTACCCTTGTTCAAAATCAAAGTCACAGCCTCTCAAACAGACAGGGAAACAGACGAGAGCGTTAGAGTTGAACCGTTTACTGGAAAAGATTCTGCAGGTCAAATAAACAACGTTTCCTCAAACATGTGAAACTAAAAAGTCATTTAACTCCTGCATTCACTAGTAATAATAAAAAATAACAGTATTAAAATCAAACAGGGTCGTGTCAAAAAAACAAAAAACAAAAAAAAACATAGCGAAGTGGAAGCCGCTCATCTTTTTGTCATTGCTACCTCTCTAAATAAAAACCATCGTAACATTCCGAGTCCCTGCCGATGCGTTTTCTATCTGTTGCTCTAGAATCATTAGAATATGTTTGCTGCTCTATTTTATCTGCTTCTATTTACATTTAGGTTCTATTTACAGCGACGATTAACGGCCCCGCCCACGCAGCAGCAGCACCTGTCAGACTGTTTGTGCAACGTTCGTGTCGGCGATTGAACTTTCTCCTTAACGACCTTCAAAGGAGTTTTATCAACGTTTTTCAGTAACTGTGCTGCTGATGTCTGAGGCGAGCGGACGGACGGCGTGCACGAATAAAAGGCGGCATCAGTCGGATTCATTCAATTAAACTGTATTTCTGCTTTGGCACATCGTGAGACGTGATGAAAACTGAGAGCAGATGATCATCATCAGGCTGCGACTAATTATCAATGAACCTGTCGTGTTTTATTGATCGATCAGTTTCACACAGAGGTTCAGTTTACTGACACAAAGAAAAACAACAAGAACTTGGAGGCAGAAAATTCTCTTCAATGACTTTGAAGATGTTCAAAAATCAAAGATGACGCTAATAAAACTTCTGTGGGGGAGGTGGCGGAGATCGTCACATGTAAGAACACGGTGGTAACACTGGCGATGAACACGAACTGAATTCAAACTATAAAAACTACCGATCCACAGATTCTCACCTTCGTTCTTCCTAGTTCTCGTTTTTTATCTTGACCACAGAGAGCAAACATGAACATGCTAACTTTCTGTTTCCTGTTTAATGAAACTGACGCTGTGAAGTAAACACAAAGGACAACTTGACAAGACAAAGAGAAACTCAAACCGATTGTGTTCTCGGTGTTTAAACCAAACTTTTGTTTATCATATCGACTCAAGTGGCTCCACGTCGTCCGACCGACTTTCGAGTTAAATGTCCGCAGGCTTTGAACTTGTTTTATAGTTTCAACGTTGGCTGGAATGAACCTGTGCGCCACACCTGACTACCTTGCGGTACGGTCGAGCTGCCAAACCGCAACACAACCGCTGTGAGTCTCTTGCAGTTTGTCTTCGTCCGTATGTCCCTCGCTCGTTACTGCCGGTGGTTGCCGTTGGGACCGCAGCGCCTCACCGACCCCTCCCATCCCGCCCCTGCAGACAGAGCAGAGGTCGCCACACGTTAAACCACAACGACCCCCCCACAGTCCCTCCGCAGGACACTGACGTCCCAGGACACCAAGTGAAGAGGTGCTCACCTGTGGTTTTCAGTCAGAGTGAGATTGAAACGGGTGGCAGGGAGGGACGAGGGGCGGGGTCACTCTGAGGCAAAGGGCACCTCTGGTGGGGGGGGCTTGACGGTGACGGGCTGGGACGTGCGGCGGGGGGGTGAAGGCTTGGGCTGAGCCTGCTGCTGCATCGTGTCGTAGTACGTCACACCTCCATAGGTCACCTGGGCCTGACCCTGAGACAGACACACACACACACAAGTAATATTAGCACATCGTGGTCGTACGACTCAACCAACGTGTTCCTGACATGTTGCATTCACCACACGAGCTCAGACCTTAAGGACCTGACATATGTTCAAGACGACAAAGAGCGCTGATGTAATCGGTTCATCTTGAGTCGAGGTGAACAGTTGTACTTTAAAACTTCCCCTAAAGCGTGTTCACATGAACGAGACCAACAGAGTCCGCTCCAGCAGGTTGAAGAGTTAAAGTCAACAACCAGAGTTTATCTCTAATATCCTGGTTCAGGAAGCAGAGGATCATGGGTAATATCCAGTCAGAGCTCAACACATTGATTCACTTTGTTTTTTCTATTTTTCTTCACCAGACAGAGACCAACAGTTAATTTCAGTGTGGAGCTGCAGGGGGCGCTGTTGCTCAGTAACAGTTACACAAAGACAGTGATAACTTCTACCTGTGGGGTTGGGTACATGGTAGGGTAAGGGAAGGTCATGACGCCCGGTGGAGGATAGAACGGAGGTGGCAGCAGTTGCTGTGGTTGCCCGGGTGACAAAGACACAGGTGGGCCTGCGTAGAGGGTGGGGTTAGCGATCGGGGCACCTGATTGGTGTGGGTGGAGACCTGGAGACGAGCGACACAGAAAATAAATCAACATTTATTCATAAATAAATCAGCTTCTGAAACAGGTGAAGAAAAACCAACGCCACTGACCAGGGTGGGGGATGTGCATCTCAGGCTGGACCAGCATGCCTTGTGGTGGGATGGGGGCGGGGCCATCCCCATGAGCATAGATTGGTCCCTGGTACGACACTGAGGACGAGACGAGGGGGGGGGGGGGGTACTTTAAATCAAAACAGTTCAATCTTAGTTATCAGGTCTAAATGAACACGTGTAATTAATGAGCAGAACCGACGTTAGTGCACGTCGTCCAAACATCAGTGACTCTACAGATCACAGACGTCCGTCAACAACACAGACACCTCAGACCTGCAGTGCCCTCTGCTGGTGAGATGGACAAGTTCCAGGTTTCTGCACAAAACCTTCACTTCATTTTAAAAACGACTCATTTGACAGATTATTTCATGAATTTTTCACATGAAGGTATGAACGTCCTCTTCGTCTTACTGGGTTCGTAGTAGTGTCCATCCATCACTCCCAGGTGCATGGGCGGAGCCGGCTCAGGTACGGGTCTCTGACGTTGGGAGGAGTAGCGTTTGGCCCGACTAGAGCCGACGCCCATCTCCTCAATGCTGGAGAACTGCGGCGGGCCCCCGGGGATGTGCAGGGGGCTCGGGAGGCCTGCGAACAGAAACATGAATCAGCTGGGACAGGGTTCAGGCTGGTTACCAGCTGTGAGCTGCACGATGACATCACAGTATCTTTTGTGTCCAGTCATGGCACCTGAACATCAGGATTTTTTAACTAACCACCTGCTGCTAGCGCTGATTTCAAGATCGAGGGCCGAGCAGGTTCAAGTTCACAAACTTCTCATCAAGTTGTTTCCACTTATAACAACATCTGGTGTATTTCAGGTCATGTGACTCACCTCTCATCTCAGAGCGGATGTATGACGTCGGACTCTGGTTCCAGGTCTGTCCGGCCAGACTGAGTCGAGCCACGTCTTGGTCCAGCTCGGTCAGCCCCCCTGCCCCTCCACCCCCTCCACCCCCTGTCTGACTGGGACTGTCTCCTGCTCCCGTCCAGCTCCTCCCTCCCACACTGCCGGGGGATGAGGCGTTCCCGCCCGCGGTCTCCTCCACGGATGGCTGTTTGCTTCCCAGGTCTGTGGGCCGAGAGCGAGTCCTGCGGGCCAGCAAGTAAGATTTACGCTCTACCGGCCGCTCGGTGGGAGGAGAGGATTCCCGATTGGCTGCTGATGATGATTGAAGGGAGGGGTCAGATGTGGAGGAGGAAGAAGCCAATCCAGACACAGAGCGGTCGGCGCTGCCTCGTTGTTCCTTCTGCTGTCGTCTGGGTGAAGCAGACTGATAACCGCCCGGCTGTGACAACGCCACTGTCTTTACAGCGCTGGAGCTCAGGTCCTTTTCCTCAACACCTGGTTGGCTGCTGCAGCTGTTCTCAACGACCACAGAGGGACCCCCCCTTCCTCCGCTGCCACGCCCTCCTCTGCTGGCCACACCCCTGTCGCCTGCAAGCTCCGAATGTGCTTTAGGGCCCTGTCGCTCTCTGGGATGCATTTGGGGTGCGTTTGATTCATCATTCCTGTAGTGGGATTGAGGTGGGAGGTGCATCTGACTCTGGTGCGATGGTCTGCTGCGGGAGGGTGGCGGTCTGGAGGGGTTGTTGCTGCGCTGAGCGGACGAGAGAGGGAGGGAGGAAGATGATGTAGAGGATGTGTGGATGGATGAAGGTGGAGGAACTCCTCGGTTTAGACCTCCACCTCCTCCATGCCAGGATCGGACTGATCGCTCTCCTCCTCCTCCCTCTCTCCACCGCTTGTCTCTGCTGGGAGACACGCTCTGTCTGCAAAGACAAGAAGACGCCAAGGCTCAGATTCAACGAGTTATATATTTAAGCAATGTTGACATCACCATGAACTGTTTTCAGGACTTTTTTCTCACCTTGGTCTGCGCTGTCTGTACGAGCGGTCTCCTGGGCCGCCGCCGTTTCTGATGTCATAACCATAGATGGCGATGAGCTCCTCGCGGCTCTTTGGCGCCTGCTCCTCCTCCCTGAACTTGTCGTGCTCCCAGCGACCCTCGTCTTTCCACAGCTTCCTGTTCCGACCTTTAGGTCTGACAGGACGCACAGAGGGAGGCATAATGAAGTTAAAGGCATGTTCCACTGAAAAGTGTTTAGAAGCAGCGTTGGAGAATGTGTACGAGCAGCACGATGAACAAACAGTCGTCAAAACCACAACTTGAACAAAGTGGGTTAAAACCGTTGTTTGTGTAGAATCATATGAAGACCGTCCGTTTACAAAAAGCAGAAACTAAAATAACTAATTAATTAGTTAATTACATATTTCATCTTGAGCTTCATCAAATTTGACACAACGACTCAATGTGACGTCCAGATTTGTTGTCAAATGGTGACCTTCATAATAAAATAACCGATCTGCTTCCTGTACCTCTCCTCCTCCTGAGCGTGACCTCTGACGTCATGCTCGAAGAACAGTCCCTTCCTAGGGATGTAGGCCGGGTTTTTTCTGTCCTCGTCATCGTCGAGCTTTTGACCCGGTTTTCCTCCCGCCTTCGTCTCTGGGTCGTCTGTGGACTCCTGCACAGAAGCAAGAACGCAACAGTTCAACCCTCTGCTGTCGACCAGTATGAAAAAAAGATCACGGCACAAGCGTGTACTCATAAGTAGATTTGGACGGGGATGCGTTGATATGTAGCACAGTTTACGTTTATCCTTTACTCAAGTACATAACGGTGGAATCGTTTTCATAAATTATAAATACAATAATATAGTGTAACTGGCAGGAATCAAACATTTCAGCCAAACGTGTCACATGCAACATATTTGATCATTTGTTGTCAGATTGGTTCGTTTCAAGCAGCAGTTTGATGCAGGTCACTAAAACAGACGTGAGGTCACGACTCACCTGTCCATCTCCGCTCTGTCTCTCTCCAGTGAGATTTTCCTTCTCCTCTGCTTTGCTCTCCTCTTTGCTCTGCCCCCCTCCCTCGCTCTCTGGCTCCTCCCTCTCTGGCTCCTGTTCCTCCACCTCCTCCTCCTCCTCCTCATTGACCTCTACCCGCTCGCCCTCCTCTCCCGCTGCCGGGCCGCTGGGAGCTGCAGGCTCCGACTCACTGGCTGCTGCCGGGGTGTCTTCGTCGCTGTACTGCTCGGCCTCCTCTTCCTCCTCCACACCCTGCGGACACACAGGAGAACAGGGTTCAACTTTTCAAAGATGCCTCCTAAGACACTTACACTTACAAACTATATACATATATATTTATATAGAAGTAAAAGTTATGTTTGTTCTGTTTAACATCAACCTGCCTGGGACAGCAGATGAAAAAGAGTCTGGTACATTTATATGAACCTTTATTCTCATAGTAGTTAATGTACACTCATTTATTATTATTATTCCAACCCTTGTAGACAGCTCACACACGACCAGAGAGCCCAGTGAAAACAAGTCTGAATCTCAAACAGCTGATGCCAGTTAATTATTTGGTGTTCTACCTCTGAATGGGAGCCGTTGTCCTCGGGGTCTGCACTTTCGTAGTCAGACAGGACAGCTGGACAAGAAGCAGAGACAGAGAGGCAGTCGAGTGTCAGAGGATAAACAGGATTCACAGCATCAGACGGTATATATCTGCAAATGACGTCACCAGCTGAGATATTCTGGAGTCATTTTTGTACAACAGGAGGAAGTGGAGACACGTCGTCCATCTTGATTTACAGTCAGCAAGTACAACAGCTGTCTTTTAGTTTCTGTTTCTAGGTTGTTGCTATGAAATAATAAATATATATTTACCTTCTCCCACTCCATCTTCACTCTCCTGCAAGAAGATGGACAAAGAAAAGGTATTAGAGACTAAAACATCAGATGAAAAGCAAAAGTGATCGAAGCTGTTTTCAGACATGAACATTTTCAAAAGCGACTCGTTACTTTAGCTTGAAAACATTTGAGGGGAATTATCTGTATTTTTAATTTTGCATCATCAAGCGTCACCTTCCCAACATCGAGACAGGTTCAACCGTAACGGACAAAAACACTGAAAAGACGATTCCGTGTTGTGTATCAATCAGAGCAGATCACACACAACAGATGTCACACGATGAGAGAGACTCAGATGTGGAGAAGAGGAGCATCTGTCTGTGAGGAGGAGAAACGTCATGGAAGAAAGTGAAGAATCAGAATCATCACTGATGACGACAAAACTGCTGAATGTGGAGTTCAACACATCACATTTCATCCTGGAACATTCTTCATGCTCACAAATCCTCTCTGGTGTTAACCTGTTTCAAGTTGTTTTATATTTGACATGAGGCTCAGTTTGTTTTGTACAGATACAGACGATAGAGTCTGTACTTGTATACTTTTACTGCAGTTAGGAGGTTGAATCAGTACTTTTACACTAGTGTCTGTAGTCCTACTGCAGTACAGATGTACGTGTGACTCCTGTGGCGGAGGTCTGGATGTACTCGTCAGTGTCTCCGGTATCAAACACCAGTGGTCCCCTGATCTATAACCACTGTCCCCACCGACCAAGAACCAGGAGCTGTGACATCATCCACGTTAACTAGTGCTGGACTCGCGCTGGAGCCGACAGCAGCTGCTCCTGAGCGCAGCTCGGCCTGTCCGGCCTGGACAACCGGCAGACTACCCGCAGACCAGCCGCTTCTCCCTCACAGCAGAGCAACGTCACCGGGGAGAACCCGGAGCCGGTGTAATGGCCGCTTCTGTTTCCTGTGTAAACTAATTCAACTGGCGCCAACTGGTCCGATGGTCCCGATGAACCCGAGTTCACGTCCCGATGAGACGGAGACTGAACAAGCGAAGAGCAAACAGCGAAGTGACAGATTCCTCCCGTTAACACCGGCGGCTTCATTCACTCAGCAACGGAGGATTCCTCCGTGGACACCGAGCAAAGCCTGGACTCCACCTCCGGGAGGAGAGCTCCTGCCTGAGGCGTCAGTCCAGGCTCCTGCCCGGGACACGGAGCCGTCGGCTGGGCGAAGCTAACGTTAGCTCCCGGAGTTAGCCGCTACTCACACATTCGGACTCCACTTCGCTCTTCGCCTCGGGTCGAACCGCTGGGGCCTCCGCCGGCTCGGGCTCTTTCGCCCGGCTCTTCAAGGTCGGGGACGCCGACCTCCCGCTGTCCGAACCCGAACCGGACTCGTCGTCGTCCTCGCTGTCCTGGGACGCGCGCCGCCTCCGTCGCCGCCGGTCCGCCATCTTAGGGCTCGAATGGTTGGAACCGGAAGCCTCAAAGAATTGTGGGTAAGGAAGTTCTTCTTCACTGGTGTTTTTAAGGATGGACTCAGACTCGTGGTTTTCATCTCCTGCCACCTGCTGGACTTTAAACGGTACTGACATTATTTAGTGCTGTGATCTTCAACCGACAGTAGATATACAAATTAAAAACTGTAATGTACATTATACTGCAATATTATACTATCACTATAGTATATATTATATTATATCCATGGTTTGGCTTCATATTTGATGTCTTTTGTTTTGGCAGCAGGTTTTCACACAAACTCCAGTTCACTGAATGAGCCTCTGATATCTACAAATGATTTAACGGCCAGATTTTGATTTTCATGGGTGAAGAGATTTGACTGTGATGTTTTTTTATTTTGAGTATTTTTGCTGCATGTCTTTACGTTGACGCTAGGTGGCGATCTTTAGAGGAGATGCAGATATGTGTTATTTGATTTATTTATTTGTTTATCTATGACCGACACACAGCACAGCTCTGCTAACGATGCTAGCCATGCTAACTAGCTATGAGACGACACCTCTCAGACTTTAGGAGCGAGACGTGACTCACAAAGCGTCTGTGTTGGTCCAAGATGCCAGTGCGACATCTAGTGGCAGTGAATATTATATATAACCTTTAAAATATTATGACATTCGACAGGTCGGGATTCAAAACATTTTAATCAGGATTCATGTTTAAAACACATTTTAATAAACACGTTGAATGGGACCTTTTCTTCTTGTCTGTAAATAAAACTTTACTCTGCTTGACCGGGTGACGCACAGAGACGATGATCGTGTGATGTCACTGGACCGTCCTCTGGGAAACACTTTGTCATTTTCAGTCCAATTCCTGTGTGTTCAGCGTGATGATCATCATGTGCACACTGTGGCTGCCCGGCAGAGTCGATCCGGCCAGCTCAGATTTATCAGCACCAAAGTTTTCCAACTGAATGTCAACACAGTTCATGTTCCACCTGCGGAGCAACGGTTCAATCGACCAATCAGCGCTGAGACCAGACGAAGAGAAGGAGGGCAGAAGTGAGGCAGTGACACAGAACTGAACTGAAACCACCTCCCAACACACATCTGTAGTAACAACCACTAAAGAGACATGATGTTCAAATCAGCCCATCCCCCCCAATCAGAAATACAGTCTGATGAGATTGTGTGTTTGGTTACTTCTTGTATGTATTCATTTGTTGTACTTTATTTTATTATAATTACTATATTCTACTCTTTCTGAGAAACACCATTTCCCACAAGCCCACAGATCATCACAGGTTTACCTTCTCTCTTGGTACGTGGTCCAGAACTGTGCTCTGGGATTTTTCCTCAGAAGAAAAGCAACAGTCACAAGAACATCCTCGAAATCTGAAACACGTTTCCAGTGTTCAGTTAGTTTTGTGAGAAATATTGCATAATATACTGTACACAGTTTTCTTTACAGCTGTGGTGAACGTACACTCAGCTGATGAACTGACCTCGAGGCTCGTAGAAAACGTCTGATCCCAGGATTATGTCCATTCTAGGAAGCAGAACGAGATCCGGGGAGACCTCCCCCCAGGTGAGACCCAACACGGCCACATCGCGGAGATTGTTAGCGTCACAGCTTCGCTTGCAGTTCTCCAGACAGAGCGGAGTCCTGGCGCTGTCCGACAGAATCACCTTTGCACCGCATCTTGCGGCCACCACACCCGGGAGACTCACACCTGCACCGAGCTGTGGAAAGAGTAAAGTGCTTTACGTTAATGTTTGAGTTCTTGGATCTCACAGTTAAATGTTCTCCCCACCTCCAGCACTGTGTTGTCCTTCAGCTCGTCCCTGTGGGTCCACAGATACTGAGCCAGCACCACCGCACACGGCCACACGTACATCCCATACTGTGGATCCAGAACCTGAGAGACGAGTTCACCAACAAGCAACAAATGATATGAACACAACAGACACACACAGTCAGTGTTTATTGAATACACACATTTCTCTCATGGGCATCAATACAGATCTCATCTTCATCAGTCTTCATCACAAAGGCTGGTTTAAGATTGACTTTACAAACAACATCAGTTTATCAGCTTAGCAAACTGGACTGACCTCAGGTACAGACATGACGTCAGTTAATGAACACATGGACTGACCTCAGGTACAGACA